CACACTTCATCACAATGTCCTGCGTCCTTGCTCTGTCCTGATTAGAAAGTTTGACCCGATGTGGTTTATGTGAGTGAAATTAGTGTTATCACGCATACGCTCCTGATGTGTGGAAATCCAAACATAAAAAAAAAAAATGCCTCATGTGAAATTGGAATGAACAATGAAATGCTTATGGATTTTTAGTAGTACTCTTTTGAAGGCCTTGGGTTGATATGCAACATTCACTGGTTAGGGGATCAATATAGGGTGCTTTTACCAGCTGAACCCATAACAGATAATGTGTGACTGATCTTAATTCAAATTGAAGCAGAGCAAATGTCACTATAAAGTGTTTACTCTTTCTTACTGGGTTCCTTGCAAACTAGAGAGGAGAGAAGGAGAGCCACAGACTAAGGCTGGATTATATTCAGCCCCTTGATCTCGACCATGTTGTTTCTAAGTTACAAAGGCTCTTTGGGATGCTGGACATTTGAAGGTGGAAAAATAAGAATTGTGCCTTCTAACAGAATAAAACAAAATTATGGCCACCAACCATGAAAATGGCAAAACATAACATTCTCAAATTTAATACATATTTTATCATTACAAATTTGAACACTTTTTTCACAAATAATTTGGCACAATTAAAACACAAACAAGTCTTTTAAAAGGAGATAAACAATAACAATAATTGTGCACAGCCTTAGTACTTAGTTGAAGTAACTTTAAGTAACATTTAACTTTCTTTGGTAGGAGTCTTATTTTGATATATTTCCCAACTAAGCTTTGCAAAAATTCCCATATCAGATTTCCTGTTAGATATAATTCTAACTATTCCAAAAAAAAAAAAGTCTTTTCATAAACTCTTTATGTGGAGTTTGATGTATACAATGAGAGAAGCTGCAAAATACTGTCATGTTTGTAGTAGATACTTGTTTTGAGTCAAAGCTGACTGGTATTTGGAATTGTTCTTAGTTTTATCTATTTTGATATTAATCTTAGATGCAGAAAAGTAACCACAGAGCATGATGATGATACCGCCAGCTATTATGGCATGTATCATTCGGCAATGCTCAGTTCAAAACATACATATTGAACCTACCTTTTAGTCTAGATATATGCAGTGCACAGCATTAACGCAATCAGCTGTTTTATAAACTATAACAAGTGGAGCATTATAATGGAAGCCCTAACGCTCAAGTATGTCTGTTGGGCGTCATCTTAGGATTCAAACAATTCTTAGTACCACAATCCCAGACAAGACATGGAAGAAAGAACAAAAAAATATATAAATAAGATATGAACTGAAAGTTGAAGTTGTAGTTTTACCTTCCAAATGAAGTCACATAATGTCACATACTGTGTGTTTATGAGATAACTAGTAATATTTCAGCTCTTAAAGGAGCTCACCGATTTTCAATTGAATGTATAAACCATTTTTAAGAGGAACTGGGTGAGATTTGGGGGTACAGAAGATACCCTTATGTTTCTCTTGCTAATTTACTGCATTTGCATGAGAAATATGAATTGAAACAGCTTTATTCATCAGGCAATCTAAAACATTTGGTTGGGTTCAAGATTTAAAGAAGCTGCCTAGAGTTGGGAAAATATTATTGCTATGATTGAAATACAATGTTAATATTTCTACTTCTCTAAATACATAAAATGGACAGATGGATAGATATTCAAAAGATGTTGATGAATTAAAAAAAATACCACCCCAATATTTTTAAAATTTAACTTATATATTTAATTATTTTATCTGTGTTTCTAAAAGTTTGGAGAGCAGTGTGTTTACCACTGCATTGCATCACCTCTTCTTTTTCACAAATGTGAAATGGAGAGTCAACCTCCTATAGATTTATAACAAAAAATATTTTTGTAGTCTTCATGCGTACAGACATCTTTACGCTTCACATGCATCAGACTCTTTTTATCTAAATTTTCCTTTCATATAAAGTCTTAACACTTTCCGTCGATTAAAACTCGGGGCTCTTGGCTGATATTCACACTGTTTTGATCATGCTTTTTTAACTGTTGCATAATCTGCTTTGATAGTGTATTTTTGAAATAAGCAGTGGGTTTTTGTGACAGGGAATCTAATCTTGATGACGGGTATCAAACCAGCTCAACATAAAAGTTTCAGGAAAAAAAAACAAAGAAGGTAGACAACAGAAATCTGTTCTGGATGTCCAAAACAATGTGTTATTTTTATTATTTTTTTTTTTGTCATGCTTTTCAATGTTTTCACATGTGACGGTTTTAATAATTAGGTCTACTTGAATTTCTAAGAAAAGCATATTTCAAATGATTTGCTAATCCAAACTGACTGGAGGAATGGTTCAGTTCTGAATCTGTCAGCCAGTGAGAAAGAAAGGTTACATGTGTATTCACACAATGTACAGTAAATATCTGGTTTTAACAGCATACATACAAATGTACTGAACAATTATTTGTTTCTAAACATTTCTATTTCTATAGACAGTTTTTTTTTTTCCAATAACACTCTTAACACCAGAGGGTCAAAGTGGCCACACATGGTGGATAATGATTCATTAAGGAGCAATTTCAATTTCACTTGGTGTGCTTTGGAAGACTTAGTTTCTTTTTACCTAAATGCATTGTTTTGATTTAAATAGGCAGGTATGAACAATTTAGTTGCAAAATACATTGAATCACAGTTACTATCCCAGTAATAGTGTAATCGCAAAGGAATGGATTTAAATAATATATGTGGCAAGTCAGACGCACTCAACCTGCCCTTCATGACAGGATCTAAACCTCATGGAAAGTGGTAGGAAAATGGGTTAATCATATTCAATTTTGTCATTGCTATTTTAGCCATACTATCACAGTTAAATATTTCCCAGACATTGTGCAACCCTGGTAAATAATTATTTAAAAAATACGATTCTTCACTGTTTATGATGGTAATATTTAGTGACAGACTGTGGTAGATGTTTGTTAGGTGTTATTTCGCTTTTTTATTTGAAAGATCTTTTTATATTGAACGGTGTTCCCTAAAAGTGCTGGCACTCTGTGTTATTTCATATTCAAGTGTTGTACAGACATAAGCAGGAATTAACTGTTTCCGTTGCTTTAGTGCATAATCCTTTGAACACAAGGATACGACAGTAAAGTCTACAAGTCTTTTTTTGGCTCTGCGACAGGAATCCCGCTGAGCCGGGGAGGCACTTTGTCAGTGTGACTTCTCTAGCATTTTGAAGGCTTTGTCAGCCCTTTGCCCCCAGCAATTCATGCCTTGTAGTCCCCAGATTGGATATGGATGGCTTTTCATGTATTATAACATAGCAGGTGCTGGTTTTGTCGGCTTCTCTAAGCCATATTGTCCACAACAAATATTCCATTTGCAGAGGTATTGGAGCAGGTGGAACCATCTACAGCACTGACAAAATATATGTATGTATTGTAAATAAAATGAGGGCTTTTTATCTAAAGCTATGAGAGTATATGCTACCAGTAGGTAATCTGGCAATGCGTGACTGCAGCGATAACAGCACCTTCAGGGACGTCAGGATTGCTTTCTCTCACTGGTTGCGTGCCCTGCAACGGCTGTTGATACATTATAAATCATTTACACAGTCATTTTAGAATGCAATATACCCTTCTAAATGCTGGCTTTTCTTCTCTGTGGTTATTAGAGTGAACTCGGCTGTAGGCATGCAAGTCTGAGTGGGACCCTAAGCCATAGAAATTGAAAATTGATCAGCAAGTGTGGGAATCTGTTAGTCCTGGCACCACAGCTTGCACCATGGGACTGTTGATTAGCATTTACAGTACAATGCGTTCAGCAAAGGTAGTCTTGCTGCCAGCAGCTAGATGCCCCATCCCGCTACCTCATACTGTGTTCTTCCCTTAGCGTGATCACCTGTAAGAGCAAACCAGAGGGATAAACTGCCATTTCCATTTTGCTCTTTTGTACAAAAAAATGGAAAATTAATTATATTCTCTGTGTCATTAAACAGGACATTAAACTTTTACAATTTTATTAGTCTTCAGTGGTTGGTTCACACTTCAGGACTTAAGCACATACTGTTAAAGGTGGAGTATTATATAAAATCAACTCTTTTGAGCTTTACAACATGTTATAATGTCATTCCTTCAGCAAAAACATGCAATGTTTCCTTGATTATTGCATTCATGTTTGAGAAATCCTTTCATCTCCAACTATTTCGTTGGCAACCGAGTACGGCTTTGAGGACTAAGCTCCTCCTCAGACCTGCAGTTTCCAAGCTTCTGTATCAGAGAGCAGCCCTTCGTGGTCAGGTCCTGCAGACGACGCAGCAGCAATTAGCAAACACCTGATGAAACTGTTGATCTGTTGAGCTCATTATAGAAGCTACTTTTCAGTGAAACGCTGGTAAATGCATTTCTGAAGGGTCAATAACAGAGCGGTGTTGTGATGACTTCCTGCAGGCAGAGTTTCAGTCAGAGCAGGAGTTTCAAAACGCCAAATTTCAAGGCATTAATATATGACTCAAATTTCTTTTGACCCCTATTGAGTAGTTCCACAGTAAAAAGAGTACTACTACTGGATGCTAAAAATGTTTTTTTTTTTTTTTTATTAAAAACCGTGCATAATTGTCTTGCCATTACAGTCATATGTTCTCTGTTTTGTGAATGTATCACATAAAATTCCAATGAAATGCATTTAGGTTTGTCTTGGTGAGGTGACAGATGATGGAAAAGTTTAAAGGGTATAAATATGCACAGCAATATAATTGGCTTTGTTTAAAGTGAAGAATAATTACCTGCTGACAGTTAATGCCTTTTCCCATAGCAGTTGTCTTATTAGCTTCTTCAGGCACAGACTGGCAGGTTGAACCACACTTAATTATATTATGGATTGATGATAGCACTAAGACTGATGTCATGTTTGTGTGAACTGTTTAATATCGTGACAGAAAAGGACTCCCAGAGTCAATAATAATGACTGGCTAAAAATGGTAGGTTGTCAGGGAACTTGCACTAATTTTCCTCTCCTCTTACTCTTGCAGCATTGGCTGGAAGATCTGACGAGCGCACTGGGAGGAGAGTGAGTGAGGACCTGCATATCTGTGGCTGTTTCTCATCATTTCTAAGCTGGTGGGCTTCTATATCACAGCTGATGACTGTCCCTCCGGAGGCTGGATTACAGGGGTTAGCGGCAAGCCTGAGTGTTTGCTGAAGGGCGTGCCCCAGCTTGTATGTTGGTCACCTACGCTCGCTCTTGCTCACAGGGATCATGTGGCTTTGTCCAAGGAGAAATCGTTTTCCCTTGCAGAACTGGCATGGTGTCCACAGTTGCACCAATTTCAGCGTGTCCTTGTGGGTTTTAAGCTTCTGCTGGTGCTTTGCGGCCCTGAGAGGTCAGAACTACCACCCCTCTGTGAACACGCAGTACGGGAAGCTCCGTGGGGTGAGGGTGCCCCTACCAAGTGAGATCCTGGGCCCCGTTGACCAATATCTGGGGGTCCCTTACGCGGCTCCACCCGTGGGAGAGAAGCGCTTCATGCCCCCAGAGCCACCTTCTTCCTGGTCGGGGATCAAAAACGCCACCCACTTCGCCCCTGTCTGTCCCCAAAATATTCACAATGCAGTGCCAGAGATCATGATGCCAATATGGTTCACCTTTAACCTGGATATAGTTACCACATACATACAGGATCAGCACGAAGACTGTCTTTACCTAAACATCTATGTTCCAACGGAGGATGGTGAGTGTGTCGAGTATGAAATCCAAACTGTCCTCCTTTTTCTCCTGTCTCTGCTTCCCACTCCTTCTGTCCTATCTCAGAAACTCTGTCTCACCTTTTTGTTTCTTTTTAGCAGAGCATGACCTGTTGTCTGGCGCATGCTGTGTACGTGTTCATTAGCTCAGCCTTCCATCTTGATTAGATCTTCCACTTAGTCTTTTCATCAACTCTCCCCTTCCATGCCAATGTTAGAAGTTCCTCTTTTGACAACTAAATGACTCCTCAATATAACTAAATATGAAAGAAAAGCAAATTTAATCCAAGAGACAGATTGGAAATACTCGATGCACCTTTTTTGCCCTCACTGTCTTGACTTGTTCTGGGGATATGACCTATAGTAGCCTGCCTCATAAGTGAATGATCTTCTGTAGGGTTGGTGAAATATTCTGTCTGGTACATGAGAAGCCTGTGGCATCAGCCTGATCTATGTAAGACCCTTTACTCTCCTTCCTTTGTCCAGTTTGCTTCCTATTAAGCAGAAAAATTATTAGGATGCACAAAAAACTAAATCTAAAACGTTGTATTATTATTATTTGTGGATATTGACTCCTTAAACTGTATCAATTACTGACCACTTAAAGGAGAGCCATACAGAAAAATTCACGTAAATCTCATGGGCTATGCCAAAAACGGCAGAAAAGTTTTGGAAAGTTTAACCACTCTGTCCTCTATGTGGCTGTAATGGGTCTTAAATAGAAGTGCATGTGAATATGGGCTTCTTTTGTCCCAAGGTGCAGCAAATTCATTCCACCATTTCAGAATATTTCTGCAGCAACACCCCAGTTACTTTTTTCCAACAGGTCCTCTGTTGTTCTTGTTGATAAAAGTCTAGTGAGGGTGGGAGAAGGGGGGAAAAAAAGGGAGAATACGAGTCTCAGCTGTTGCATGTCACCTGGGTCCTGTTCCAGAGCGCTCTGTTATTTTGTAGTTTTTCCATTCATTTTACAGTCAAAAGAATATCCAAGGAATGTGCGAGGAAACCCAACAAGAAAATATGTAGAAAAGGAGGTATGTAAAAAAAAGCAACATGGAACGAAAGGGAAGGAAATGAAAGAGTGAAGAGAGTGATTCATGCTTCCTATCATCACCTACCAACTCCAAAATCAAAGTGCTAATTGGGAAAAATGTGGGCTTTGTGACTCAAATCAACCTTGACATAAGTGTGAGGGTTGAGTAAGTGCTTGATCCCAATTTGTGTATGTCAATGTGTGTAAGTTGTGTTGTCTTTTTTCTCAATGTATGAATGTGACCGAGAGTTGAGAAATATGGTTCCTAAATAAACACTGGGTTGAGAATGTGTACATTCTAATTTATGACTTTTTGGGAAGTTTATTTTGAAAATGTAACTTTTATGAAGTGGGGTTCTGTGAAGTAGTTACCAGCAACTATAACTTTTCCTGGAGTGGAAGTTCAATAGAGGGGAGTCGTACAAAGTTGGAAAAATTGTACAAAAATTGCACAAAGGTTTCTACTCGAACAATCTGTACACAATTTAAAGTCATATCAACTATTTTAAGATCAGTTTACATAGGTTGAAACATAATTAATTCATGTTTTAGCAATTGTATTCTGTCAGCTACCAAACCAAACAAATGAAAAGCTGTAATTTATTGTGCCACTCAGATCGTGTGTAGCTGTGCCAAAATTGACTGATTATCACATCAGCTGAGAATCTAATTTCTCCCAAATTTAAGTCCAGTGAAGCTGTGAAGCTAACTTTTGGATCATCCCCTCTGATGTTGGACGTTTCTTTCAATTAATCCCTGGAAAAATTCAAGAGGCTCATTAAAACACCAGAATCTAGGAACGCAAGGAAGTCTGGATGTTGTGATACAAACTGGCTTTGTAAAACTGACATCCTTGCTGGATAGACCGTGAAGTTATGTCCGTGCCAAGTTCCTTTCATGGCAGGAACAGCAGTCGGGATGTGATGGCAGCAGAATATAGTCATTTCATCTGCACCAGCAGGGAGATTGTGTTCTCTTTGGAGTTCTCGTTCTCTCTTTGCTCTGCTCCTGTGTTCTGCCTTCTAAGCCAACAGTTCTTCCTCAATCTTCTCTGGCTAAAACTGATATTATCACGCCAGAAAAATGTCATAGTCCCTCAATTTTACTGGCCTGCAGTTGTCTCGGTCGAAGAAGCAGACTGAAACAACCAGAGGCCTCACAAAACAATTTTTAAGAAAAGAACTTTACAAATCAAGTTACGATTGGATGAAAGAGGTGTAGAAGTTTATAACATGCTGTCATAGCACTGGTTTAGGATTTTTGGGTTTAGGGTTTTTACTTTTATAAATGGGATTTCTGTTACTGGATCTGACTGATGCTGCTGCTACAAAAGTTGTTTGTTCTTTATCATTATTGGTAGCTCTTGCACAGAACCCCTCTTCAAAACATTCAGATTTCCCTTTTAGGTGAAACGCAGCTGTTAATTCAGAAGCACAAGTGCTGGGTTTGGGTCATGATTATTTGTCAGATATTTCAACTGGAAGAATCAGAGCCTTAAACATTGAGCTACGATGAATCAACATTCAAAATTCTTTCTTGGTGCAATCAGAACATTAATCTATGCGTAAGGCAGTTTCTTACACAGCCACAGAGAAACAGCCCTTTTTTCATTAGTGATAGCTAAGTTATCACTGCTAGTAACCGCAGAGGGATAATTTTCTGTCAGTGCCTGAAGGCAACATGTATGCTTTACATTAAAATCCTGAGCATATTTGCCACTGCAAAGCTTCACTTTCAACTGGGAGACCTTTGCCACTGATTTCCACAGAGGCAGAAGGCAGCTACTGCCCTCACGGTGCCCACTTCATTCCTTCATTCTGCTTTGGTAAACCAATTTTGTCAGAGACAGACTGGCCCTTCAGGCGCTCCTGCTTCTGAATTAGTCCCAGATGTGGAATATACGCAGAAATATCTATTTAATATTTCCCTTCCAGTTAGAAATTTTCAATTATCTTTCATGTGTTTGGTAATGAGAAAGTGGTTTATCAAAAGTTTTCTATGTCACTATTTTGGTATGTTATTAATTCCATAGATTTTTAATATTTTTTTTTGTTTTTTGCTGATGGCAATCTACTTTTGTAATATTATTGTATTTTTTATAAGAAAAGCTATTTTTTTTGGGCCTGTGTTGTAAAGTCAATTTAATGTAGAAATACATAAATGTATCTGTATTTGCATGTGAGAGTCTGTTTGCAAATACATATCGGTGACAAATTAAGATATATAATAATGTGTATCAGGTGCTTAACCCTTATATATCAAAATCCAAGATTTAATTTTTGTAATTGGACTCTATGGAAAAAAGTGGAACTGGAGTTTTTCCAAGATGTTCCTTCATTCTGTGTTTTATTAGAAGACAGACTGGGAAAGTTATTGATTCCAAAAGATAGTCAATGTGAGTGAAATTTCAGTCTCTGCCAAAAAAATGTAAACACACCTCTTGCAGGACTTTTATAGATGTGTGAAATCAGTTGTTTTAATTTCACACATCTAAGACAAATCAATTTCATTTACGTTTGAACATTTTGGTTTTGTGAAAAAAAAAGGCAAATAGATATGTGTCTTCTTTCAATACAAGAAGAGGACAAGTTGTGGAAAACACAGTTGGTGAAAATCTAGAACCAACATCTAATTTGAATTTCTAAAACAAATACAAGCAATGGTCTAACCATGCAAAGGAAAGTAGAGTCCCTGAATAATATAAAAAATCTGGTGTAGTTTGAAATGCACAAATGCATTTCATGACACCTTGAAGAAGGTAAATGAAAAGGAAGATTAGTCATAAATATTGGCTGTTCATATGAAGCTACAACAAAATTTCTAAGAAAATAGAATAATGTAAAGAAACTATATGATTGATTTAGCCAATGTTATAATGCAGTCAATCTTATGAAGGGCTCAGTGTTGTGATATTACAATATCTCTATATAATCTTAATATTCACTTTCCTGCTGTCTTTTTTGCACTGAGCCTTGGAGTCTGAATTCTATTGTCCAAGCGTATAATGCAATTGGATTGGAGATTTGCTGTGATTTCCCCCCACAGGGTCAGAAACTATAACAACTAGCAAAACCTTGGGTTAGCATGAGCAATGTCCTGGCCTTCTTGTCTAAAGTAAACAAGAAAATCTCAGCAATCAGTGATGGTTCAGAGTTTCAAGTCAGGTAAACGAGTAGAGCTTCCACAGAAAAGTCTGTGCAGCAAACTTGCACAGACTTGCGGATGTTATGACAACAGGGCACATGATTTTGCCCTGCAATTAAGGGCAAAATCATGTGCCCTTAATTGCAGTGATGCCATTTTGAGGTTTTTTTTTTTACAAAGCCACAATGTTCAAGAGTCTAAGAGTAGTGATTCCGATTTTACTGCTGTTTATAAAACCATAGTGGAAACTTCTTTCCTGTGGGTGGAGGTGCTGTTTCACTGAATGAGGCATTAGCATACAAATCCTCAAAAATAGGGTACAAGGTGATGCTCTATTACATTGCCTTGGAAAAGTTTTCATACCCCTTGAATGTTTTTACAATGTTACAACAATTAGCAACTAATTATGAAGTAAAAAAATAGTAATACGTTTCAAATGCCTTGTTGGAATATGGCCAGGAATATAGCTGTTTTGGTGGTAAGTGACAACTGGTCTAGTCAGGTGAGACCAAAATCCAACCTTTTAGAGTAAACAATAGGTGTTTGGAGAAAAGCATATTTGCATGCTGGAGTGGCCTGTTCAAAGTCCAAACCTGAATCTAATTGATAATTTACATTCACGTGAGAAAATGTGAAAACATTCAAAGCTCTAACTTTCCATTGATTTGCCACCAATCTGAAGACGGGTTTTATTTGCAAAGCATTCCGTGTTAACCTGCTTAATGAATCAGAGTCATACACGCTGTGCATGTTCAGTAGTAATATACATATTTTAAATGATTATTCTTATGATCTATCCTAAAACCCTGCTGAGCTTTTTTTTAAATGTTCTCTTAGAAAGCCCTTGGATTCCTGGATATTAGCGATTAGGCTTATTGTCGCTCGTTACCCCGAAGAAAACCCTGAAAAAAGATCAAAGATGGGCTCAGTAACAAATATATATATATATATTTTTTAAAAATCTATATTTATAATACAATACTTAAAGCAAAAAAAGAAAAAAAGTTTCATACCAGTGGAGCAGAATGTTTTGTAACTAATTTTCATATAATAGATGCATTTTTCTTCAGTCCAAATAATTTTGATGATCACACTGCTAAAAATGTTATTCACACAGTTTCTGTCTTTTACAAGGCCATACCACATCACCTAAACAGATGTCCTGGGAAAGAACGCCTGAGGTCAGGTGATCTAATGTGCAGCATCAGCGCCATTGCCCCCTCCCACTCGGCCCCTTTGAAGAGGCCTTACACTAAGTGCTCCGAGCAAAGAGCAGTGACAGAGCTGTGGGACACTGGAGCCTCGGTCATATCACTCAGTCATTTTTTCTATCCTGAGTTTAGAGTGAATGGAGTGAGGAGGGGGGTAATGATGTGCAGGGACACAGCTAAGCACTATTCGGCCAGAGAGTGCTAGATATGTTTGAGATGGGCCAATATTATTTCTGAGGAGGAAAAACCCAGAGTTGCACAGTTTTTATCTTTGAACGATTTACAGTTGTTTGTTAAATTGTTTGTCAAACTTTAAAGATGATTACCACAAACACATCCTTTTGATGAGACCTCCACTTAGAGGTAATTTTGAAAATCACATATAATCAGTGCATTGTGTTCTGGGTGCACATAATGTATAAACAGTGCATTGTTTTTAAACTAAGACTCATCTTATTTAGCTTGGGAAATCGTCTTTAAAGTCACTATTCTCTGAGCTGCGCTATATTTTGCATGATACTCTGAGATCAACCTTCCTCATTTCTAAAATTATCCCGTATCATGGGTCTATTTTGAAACATAAAATCTGTTTTAGGTTTTGGCTTGACTTGGAACATCCAGCTATCATTCCCATGCAGCTCTCTCA